TAATGTTTTGTAATTGTATGGTTTAGACAGATTAAGTCTAATAGTGTCTGTCTGTCACGCTTTTACGCCTAAACCACTGAACCGATTTTGATGAAATTTGGCATAGAGATAGTTTGAGTCCCGGGAAAGGACATAGGATAATTTTTATCCCGGTTTTTGAAACAGGGACGCCTGGCAACCCTAGTCGCGAGCGGCCGCTAGTTCTTTATATTTTGTAGTATTTCCCAGTGGTTGATATTTGATACTTTGAGGAGGGGTGGTTGTGTTCCATTTTAGAGGTCGAGAGCGCATTCATGGTTTCATCCAAGTGTAGAAATGCTGAGCAGGTTGCAGCCCTGGTGCAGGACCAGCGGGTAGCGTTCAACTTCTTAACGACGTACTTCCGATAGTACGTCTGTCCATCCTTGAGGAATACGTTCTTCCCGCTGATCAGCTCGACCATGTGACCTGGTTCCCCTGGAGGACAATGCTTAGATAGTTAGAACTAGAACAGGTCAAATGATTGATAGTTACAACACAGTTTATTGTATAAGATTTTAAACTTTCGCGTTTTATTTCAACTAAAATAGTAAGAGCCGCCAGTCTGCTTGTATTCCACGGCTGCAGCATCGCAGCCGAAACGTCAAGCCGTGAGTGCATAATGTAACTCATTAATAAACGTCGCGTTAAGAACCGTGTCTTAGGCCTCAGCCTCGAATTTAGCGGGCAGCTCGCGCGGCGCTTTAGCGGCGAAGTCTGCGTTGCCCGCCCCGCTCCCGCGCCGCTGCCGCTCCCGCGCCGCCGCCGCTCCCGCGCCGCCGCCGCTCCCGCGCCGCTGCCCGCTAAATTCGAGGCTGAGGCCTAACTATTACCACATTACAGTTTATTGTACATCATACCAGGTAAGAAAAAAAAAAAACATTATGCAAAAGATACGGCACTATTCAGGCGTTCTTATAGCTCTAAGGCGATACACTCTAGACAACCAACGGGACAATTGTTTGGAATAGGTAAAGAGAAGCATATTTTATTGCAATGGAACAAGGTTGATGTATATGGGGTTAAGATATTTTACATCGTCTAAATTGATCAATTTATTTTTAATAAAACGAAAAAGACTGACAGTACATAAACTATTCATTGTATTGTAAATTAATGAAACTATAAACAAACTTAATCAAAACATAATATTTTTGATAATAAATTACAAATACGATTTTGGTAAATAACACAGAATTAACATTGCATTTTGGATATAACTGTTGAGATAAAAAAAACATACCTACTTAGGTACTTACTTATCTGTTTTAAACAGGACTATGAATAAGATAAACCTAGAAACCACAGTTAGTTAAGTTAATTTAAATAGATACACATTCATTAATAGGTCCAACCTAACCAAACAATAACATGTACATTATTTTCAAAATCACACCAATTTATCTAGCTATAAATCACACTATTCTAGTTAAGCAAGAAGTCTAATGCGATGCTAGAAAAACTTGAAAATTAATTAGGTACCCAGGTTTGTCATATGAATAAAATTAAGTTAACTTATAAATTCAGAGATGGGCGAAGCGAACCTAATAGTGGGGAGTTTTTACATCGTATACAGCCTCAACCCAATTTTCCACCAAAACAAAAAAATATCTCAACCAAAGCGGAGCAGAGCGGAGAAGTAAATAAATAATAAATAAAAAGTTTTTATTTCGAACAACTCATAGTTCATAATGTGGTTAGAAGTGTCGGGCCGTCAAATTTTTCTATAGAATTTGACAGCGGCGGCGGCGTGGCGCGGAGCTGTGCGGAGCGGAGACGAGAAGTGGAAATAATGAAATCTGATTGCTATTTAGCACACTTCTCTGCTCCACTCCACTTTGATGGAAACCGTGCCTTATGTGATACTAGTCAGTCAAACTACAAAAGAAAATTTTAACCCATCCTTTGAAAATATAATAAGAACTAAATGCTGCCATTTTAACTCTTTAATCTGATGTACCTCCCATCAGCCGTCTGGTGGAGTATCCCAGGAGCGTGGGTGTGTTCGTTTTTAGAAGTTTCCAGAACATTAAAGTGTTGGTCCAGGTGTAGGTAGCCTTTACAAATGTCGGACCTAGTGCAGGGGTACCGCACCGCGAGCCCTTTCCTCAGCGACACCGCCTTGTAAAAGGTGTACCCTTCGTAGTAGTACACAGTTTTACCGTTTACTAACTGTATCAGTTGACCTGTAAAACAAAAAAAATATTATGTATTTATTTATTTAAAAAAAAAATCTTCCTTCCTTAGTCCTTATTATTTATTGATTTTTTCTCATTTGTATTAAGAGGTAAGCAAAATTACAAGAGCGAATCATTGGGGGAGGCCTATGTTCAGCAATAGACATCCTGTGACTGAAACGTTGATGATGATAGTTGCAAATGTTGCAATACAATCTACTATTGTCGTTCGTTCGTTTCAACCGAATGACGTCCACTGCTGGACAAAGACCGGTCGTGCGCGCTCGCATCCAGGCTCCTCCCGCGACCTTCACCAGATCGTCGATCCACCTAATGGAAGGCCTGTCTACACTACGTCTTCCGGGTACTATTTCAGTCTAATATATTTCCCGTCCGTTATCTGCAAGAGTTTCGGAGGCGGATGATTGTGCTTGCCTATGGGTGGCTCGGCGATCTTCTTATCGTTAGCAATATGCATATAAACCTTGCATTTGTTGGTCATGCTGCAGGCCCACCTAGACGTTTTTGAGTTCTTCAAAGAGCCTTTCTTGGTGTATGTGTAACCATTGAACAAGAACATACTCCTCCCATTGAGAAACTCGATTATACGCCCTGAAAGTGTTTGGATGGATGAAATCCTGGTCCAAATGCATCGACACAGTTGCACCTGCTATTAAGACTGCAACTCCACCTACCTTTGGTTCCCTTCCATCCACTCCGTTTTCTATACAAATACTTTTTGTACAAAATCATTAGCACAACTCGATTAGGTCCCCTGGGGACAATTTCAGAAATTTCATGAAAAATCAGTGAGCTGCTACAAAATTAGCCAATATTTGATTTAAGTAGGACAAGTTCCTATGCTCCAATCAAATATCAAGATTAATGTGGAAATAATGTTTTTATTATCTTAATTACATAATTTTGGTGTGATTTATTACATATTATTCAAGTTCAAATTAGAACACTTATGCTACGATCACTGAAATACAGTTCAGACCAGTTTCAAGTTACAAATGAAACTCAAGTCAAGTCACATATCTCATGCTCTGAAACCTGATGATCAATCATCATCAATTTGGTTTTTAAACCCTCATATATTTTCCATTAAACACCATAAGACGTGGCGGAGGATGGGTATGGATCCCTGATGGTTTTCCGATCACCGTCATGTTCGGATCTAAGTAAATAGCCACATAGCATCTACTGGTGTAGCTACAAAACCACCTGGCTTGGTTGGCTCTCCCACTTCTCTTTGTGTACAGAAACCCTCCGTACAGAAACAACTTTTTGCCATTTGTAAACTCAACTAGCTGCCCTGGGGACAATAGAGTCAAGTCAAATATGTTCTATCAGAAGGTACATGGTCAAGGACTCAATTACTTTCAGATGCTTAACTACGACGATGTATATGTTCCTCCTCCTGTTATACGATCTCAACATAGTTATAGAATTAATAGGTCTTACAATTTATTCAAATTAATACAAAACAACTTATTATACAAAATTATGAAAGTCTATTGCAGCATAGGCTGTTCTCATTGAATTGTGGGTGGAAAAATCTTCACACAATCCAATCTTAATTCACCTGAATCTCATGAGCAATAGACAGAGTTGGCCGTGATGTGACCTTCATATCCTCAGATATTTCCCATCGTTAGTCATATGGAGATTGGGCGGAAGATGGGCGTGAAACCCTAGTGGTCCTTCCACCACATTCAAGTCTTGATCCAAGTAAACAGTGGCAGAGCACCTCCCAGTAGAGCTACAAGTCCATCTGACCTTGAATGGGTTCTTCCCTGGCCGCTTTGTGTACAAGTACCCTTCGCACAAAAACAACTTTTTGCCATTTGTAAACTCGACTAGCTGCCCTGGGGACAATAAAGTCAAGTCAAATTTTTGCCACTTTTAAACTCGATCAACTTCCCTGGGGACAAATTCACGTCAAAATAGTTAGAGTTCTGAAACATAGAGAGTAGTTCGTAATTTGTAATACCTATTTAGATTACTTTTTTTTAGTTGGTATCGGTGAACCGAAAAAGTTTGATATTTTTTTATGAATCCTACTGTTGAGCAGGACATAGCTACTTCCACTAGTGATAAACCATTAAAAGTGGGTACCATATTTTATTATAATTTAAAAACAAATTAAAACAACTTATGNTATAATATTATAATATTAAGTTAAAAAAATATTCAATTGTCGTCTATGCGGAGGCGATTTTAGCCAACGTTCGTTACTCAGTTCGTCAGGGACTACAAGCCTATCGAGCACACTGCGCACCTCGCTGGAATGCGACTCTCCCTCCTTCTTACCCCCAAACTTCCCCCCGCGTTTGCCCCGTCCGTATCGGAGCGTCGTTTTCACATCACGGCTGTCAAGTGCGCAGTTAACCTCGACCGGGTCAAACAATATCAACCGTAGTCAGAACTTGCTTTAGCCTCTGAAATATTCGCCCGACTCAGTCTGCCATACATCTCTGGTAGGGTGCGTATGATGATGGAAGCGCTTCAGAATCCGCAAATCTATATCCGATACGTGGATATGTACATCTTGCAGTTTTTCCTGGTGCAACACCAACGATGGCTTAAAAACTTATATCTAAACAATAACTCCTTCTTGTAAAATGGATATCCGTCTACTATAAGTACTTGTCGCCCATTTGAGCGTAAAAGGAGCTGAGCTATTTCATCTGAAACAAACAGTTTGTTCTGAAAACAAAACTCTATTTGAAAAAATGAATCATAAGTACAAAGAACGGCGACTACGATCAGAAAGGAAAAAATAAAAAGTCTATTTTGCGTTTTGTAAAATTTTATTGAAATAAAAAAATAAAAGACACACAATTTATCACTAAAATAAGCAGGCAAAATGGTAATGAGTACAATAAAAATGGTAATAGTAACTACAACGCTAAATTAGCCTAACACATCGATATGTTTCAAAACTACGCAGTCGAAATTTCAATAAATGGATAAAATATGAGATCTAAAACATGAGATACACAAATTATATCACATACATCAAGCATGCAGTCTTAAAATGGTAATAATAACTACGTAGGTGTTACTTAATACTAATTACTGTATAATACTGGTTTTGTCACAAATGTTATCGAAAAAATATCACACAATACTATTGCTATAAAACTAACGTGAAATTCATCTACATTCTAAAACGGTATAAAAGATATAATATCTTAAAGACACGATCTACAAAAGGCACTTTTTGATATCTCAGTGGTAAACACGAATGATTACATCAAAGCTAAGGCAAGGAAAAATTTCTAATAATGACTCACTACTAATTTGTAATTTAAAAAGGTATAAATGCCATCGTATAAATGCATAATATCGAATATAAATGCTAGGGAATATCGAATACAAGTCTTAGGAGCTACCAATGATATGAAATTATTAGATAAAAGCGTACAGCCACAAAAACTATAAATTTTCTACGTTTAGTAGTCGGTAAAGACACTGTGAGCTACTAAGTAATCCTGTAGTGGCGTGAGAGAGTTAAAGTATGCCATGTTTTCCAGATCACTTTCTTGCTTCACGCGAACCCTGTTTGAAGATCCTCCATTCATTTCGTTTGCGTCGACAAAATGAGCTTGTCCATTCATTTCACTATGGAAAGGATTTGGCAGACGGTTACCAGGACCAGCTTTAAAAGATTTATTATTTAGTTCGCTCTGAGTTAAGACCTTCAGTTTTCCAGCACTGGTACCGGTCTGCTTGACACCGTCAGGCTTCTTCTTCGAAGGCGGGTGGCTGTGGGTGATGTTGGCTTTAAGGACTTCAAGTTTGTCTGTGATGATGAGGTGGGCCTTACACTTCCACTTGGAACCGTAGGCGGTGCAGCTCCAACGATGGGCGTTGGTCCTGGCCTTCAAATGTTTGTAGAAGGTGAAGTTGTTGAGACGCAGGTTGATGCGTCCACTGGGGCGAAGGTAAAATTCAACTGCGAAAGAATGTTCAAATTAGTATTGTGTTTAGACCTTCTTACCTTACCACTAAATTAACTTAAAAACATTTTAATCAGGATTTTTTTCTTGAATAACGGATACCAGACCATTGGAATGTTGCAAGGGAATAAAATGAATGTACGAATAGTAGTTTGTCAGTTAATATACTTTTACTTTAAAATATACATGATTTAAGCTGTACACTATACGATGGAGATATTCTATTATTCTATTCATCCAAAGTTCCCAGATCGTTGATAAAGATCAAGGTTTATAGCAATAAAATAACTACAGTAATTTTATTGTATGCATAACACTTTTTTGTGTTGTTAAGACAAAATCCTTCATATTCATTTACTAAATGCCTTCACATTTTTAACATCTTCGTCTTAATAATTGGCAATTTAGTGAAATTGAGAACATTGTTATAAATAATTATACAAGTAACTTATTATAACGGAGTATACACAAATATTATACTGATTTAATATGAACTAATTTTAGATTTAAAACTAATAAAACCAGAATATACATTTTATTTAATAAACACACCTAATACTGTTATTTATTACCCGACCACGTCAATTTAACCATCATTTTAAAATAGTTTGTTTAAAGTAAAAGTTACATGCGCGTTGAACACTTGTTTAAGTGTCGTCTTGGAACCAGCTTATATTTTTTTACAGTCGGGTAGTACTACGGATATTCGCCTCTCAGCTTTTATATCTCACTAAAGCGTACTTAAATAAAATTATTGCGACGTTAAATGATTATGCTTAAAATCTAAATACAAAGTTTTCTAAATATGTTACTTTTCTACACTAATATTATAAAGAGGAAAACTTTGTTTGTTTGTTTGGTTGTAATGAATAGGCTCAAAAACTACTGGACCGTTTTTAAAAATTCTTTCACCATTCGAAAGCTACATTATCCACGAGTAACATAGGCTAAATTTTATTTTGGAAAAAAATAGGGTTCCGTAAAATATGTAGATAATGTAGTCGCCGCGCGCGAAGCCGCGGGCGGAAAGCTAGTGATTAATAAATAGAAAGTTTTTTGAATTTTTTTTAGTTAAGAGATCTTGTTAAAATAAAACGTTAATCCAAAATAAGCTCCACCCTATTGCCTTACGGAATATTATTGAATACTCAGCCACGTATTTTGATTTAGCGGCAGGCGGTAACGGCGAGCGTAGAAATCTAGCGTCAACGTCTTTATTTACGTCGAGGGTTCATCTTTCAGATGAGCGAATTTTTGGCGCATAAGTTCGTTTTTGACATTTATATCTTACAGCGTAGTGATCATATTCGCTCGAGACAACACGCAGAAGTAGACAATAGGCATGCACGCAGGCACGTTTTGTCCTGTGCTGTGAGCAAACTCTAAAGTTCGCTAGCGTTTTTTGGAATGCTAAAGCGAGCATCAAATGATCCAAAAATACTCGTCTGAAATATGGACTCTTTAAACTACGTGTCAAAATTAATTTCCTGATCGCTCCGCTACGTCCTGCCCGAGATAACGAAAAAAAAATACAGCAGAGCGTTTACGAAATCTATCACGAATGTAACTTTGTCTACAGGCACTGAATAAAAGTCGACATATTTTCTTATTGGGGCGACTAAGTATTTTTTAAAATAGAGAGTAACTTAGTTAATCATCAGAAAAGTCGACTTTACTCTGTATGCTAGTTATTTTCAAAGAAAACGGATTCAGCGCTTTTGTAGAACGGGTTTCCATTGTCCGCTTCTTGGCCTGCAACATAGAACACATTTGATTAGTAGAAATATCAACGCTAGTTAAGATAAAATAAGGTAGCCTTTCACATAATTTAATCGCAGATGGCACGTTACTATATCAGATGGGTTCTTAAATATTTGCATGTAGAAACGTCTAATACTTCTGTTTATTTGCTCCCAGAGGGATTCGAACCCGCGCGTTAACATCAGATCAGGTCAGTTAGTCAGTGACACATATTGTCAGTAAGCCATTGTTTTTATTTTATTAGGTGGTTTACTTTTGTGCCATACTTTGGCCTAGCATTTAAACTATATAGTTTTATAAACAAGCGTCTCACCTGAGCCTTTTTGACATTTTGCAGCAAGTAATGCGAGGGCATGTGAGTGTGGTCTGTATGCGCTCGCACCACCATCATGTCACGTGTGACGTGCAGGAAACCCCTGCAAGACCTGGATCCCATCTGGGTGCAGCTCCACCGGAAGCCGTCCCTTAGGATTTTGTGCTGGTAGTACGTGTAGCCATTGTGCATCAGCAGGAACTTCCCGTTTCGACCCTTCACCATGAGAACTGAAAATGTCACTGCGTTAACAAATGGAGGTTGGTGGAATTTTGGTGTCAAGCCAATAAGCAGGTTAAAGTTGTNTAAGTTGGAAAATACTTCCTCGCAGCTATTGAGCACCTTTGGGATATGCTCATTTCAGTTTTTATACATCGGAATACATTGCAGTGGTCAGTTCATTACAGGTTTTGTTGCACACCGAATTTGCGGTATATTTCGGTGACAATCACAAAGCTTACTTCGATATCTGTTTATATCTTACAACTTCCTTAAATAATGGCAGAATTAGAATAGATAATATGGATCTTTTTTCACGAAAAGGAACAGGGCTACTTACTTAAAATAACATACTTCCCCATACGAATCATAAAAGTAGTTTGGGTGCTATTAACGAGTCAAAATAAATCAAAGACTAGACAAATTAAATGTAATACAGTTGGTATTTAGGTACAATAGATTCGATCAAAATCTTTTTGTGCTATGACAAATCTTGAATAAATAAAAGCTATATTACATAAAACAACTTGACAAATCGGTCATATACGAGATTGCGATTTTCGAGTTGGAGTGACTTTAAATTCGCATATACGTCCCGTCTTTGAGCATGCGGTACGACAGTGGCATATGGTTGTGGATGTAGTTCCCGCGCAGGACGGCCCCACTGTCGTTCGCGACGACATACGCCCCGCATTTCCTGGAGGAGTGCCTGCAGCATTTCCATCTCCACCCCACCTTCACCTTCCCATGCTTGAAGAACGAGTGGCCATCGCACATAAACAAAGTAGTTCCATTGGTGCACTTAATGTACTGACCTGAAAAGTACACAATGTACACAATGAAATCCTTCATTTGAAGTTACTTCACAAAATTCCGTTTTGCCCATCTCTCTCAGTTGTCATGGAGTCCTGGTACGAGTAAGACAAACAGATAGGTACAAGAATATTCGAACAATGCTACAGTGTAGAGCTTCACACTAAAGCAACCATTGATGAAAATAAAACAAAATTTTAGTTAAGCTATCATTTATTTATGGATGGACTATACCTTCATTATAGCAGATATAAAGATTTATTTTGAAAATAGCAAATCTCGCCGTCAACAGTAAAGCAAACTGATGTTGGCTTCATATTTCCTAATGTTTTACCTTAACCAGGACATGCATATACCTATCACGATCTGCACAAGTCGCTTCTTTCCCTCTTTTTCTTTCAATAGTGGTTGTGGTCATCATGGAGCTTAAGGATAACATTTTCCTTGGACATATAGAAGTGCGCTCGACATTTTTGCGTCACCTGCTGGGAACATTTCCAACGAGTAGAGCCGAATCTCAGCGTTGAGTGTTTAGAATAAGTATATCCATTGACGTACGCAACAGTGCCACGCGTCCCGTAGATGATCTGTACTGTTAAAATAAAAACAAAGCATATTCAATAGCTAATTTATTTGGTGGGCTAAATACCACTTACACATACACACAACGTGACAACACACGAACAAAAACATTTCATATTTGGTAAAAAAGAGACTAGTTAAGTATAATATACGTAATTCAGTTATGGTCCATTCTTTCCGACAATTACTCGTATAATTAGGACAAAAGTTACATTAATTTGCTACTTATTCATGTAAAATACATTAAGCGTGTATAAAAAAAGCTCTTTTCTATTTCAACTGATTGTGATAAAATGCAATGACTGTAATTAAGATCCAATTGTATAATTGTAGTATACAGGGTGTTAGGTAAATGGGTATATGAGCCCACACTAGCCCATGTTAACATGGCAATATACATTTTATGGTGAAGTCAGAAATTACATATCATCATTTTTTTTTCATACAAAATAATTTTTTTAAAGTCCGATTTGTATGAAAATTAAAATAATTAAAATGTAGATATAAATTTTCTGACTTCACCATACCATTTATATGCCCATGTTAACAAAGGCTAGTGTCGGCTCATATACCTATTTACCTAACACCCTGTATAAATTGATCCAACATGATGCGATAATGATTTATAACTATCACTATGACAATTTGGTACCTACGAGTATACTAGGAACATATTTGCTAGTATGAAGCGATGCTGTCTGAGGGCTTAGTGTGAGTTTACTTCAATCGTCGTCACTAGCGAGCGCGTTAAAAAAAAATTTAATTCTTGAAAGTTTCCGCTGTACAATCCGTTATACATTTAATATCACTTTTTTACGCAGTTGACATCGAGTGCGTTTGACGTAAACTCACACTACGCCCCCTGAATAATCTAGGTAAAGTTACATAGTATTTCTTATTCTAATATTTGGTATAGATCCCGCTGTCGTTCTTGAAGTACTTGAAGGGAGCGTGCGTGTGCTCTTCGTTGCTCTTCAAGACGTATCCCTCTTCATCTGCTACAAGATAAGCGGAACAGTTCTGGGAAAAGTGCCTGGTACACTGCCACCTGACTCCAGACTTCACTTTGTAGTGCTTGAAGTAGGTGTAGCTATTCCGCAAAGCCAATGTCTTGCCTTTCTTATCCATTTTTATAAACTCCACTGAAAGCAGAAGGAAGATTAAGAAACAACATACCTACAGAAACTATTGCGAAATTGTTTTTTAATGAGGGTTTTCGCGATTGAAAAATCCGCCAGATGGCAATACGTAGACGCGAGGTCCAAATGCTGCATGATTGGTTATTATTGACATGACATTGACAGATATGTCAAGGTCCACCAATCACGCAGCATTTGGACCTCCCGTCTAGGTACGTATTGCCATCTGGCGGATTTTTCAATCGCGAAAACCCTCATTAGAATGGTATTGTTTGTAACAATGGACTAAAAGCTTAGTTGATACGATTTATTCCTGAAATTGAAGTACCTAATGTGAAAATTGAAGTAAGAAAAAAACTATATGTGAAACATAGATAGTGATTTATTTTCTTCATTATTATCTAGCTTAAGTCATAATCCAATATAAACACCAATTTACTTTAGGCGGCTGCATCTACTCCTACGAATAAGATTACAGTTAAGTAAAATCCTAGTGATTTGGAACTCTACTTAATAAAAAATCCTTATTAACACTTAAACGGTTATGATTGTACCTGACTTTAAAGGAATAATGTGGACTAAAGTGTGGAAAAACAAAAGTATGGAACAAAGCACAGGACGAGGGTGATTCCGTACTTTTGCTTCCAATTATACATAGTATTGTCACTGAAAAGTGGCTGAAAATACTTGTATTTGATACAGAATGTAACAATAAATAATGGTTGCTAACTATAGCGAGTCTCCAGCGTTTGTGAGATGATAATAGTTACAACGGACATCGCGAGTTAGCCAGATGGAATGGATATATCATTTTGTGGGGACGTGGGGGGTCTTAGACAATGCACTTAAGACTCACACTCTAATATACGACCCGTCCCTATTCCTATAGTACTTCGACGGCGGATGACTATGAGTCTCGTTCCTCCTCCTGATGCAGCCGTCGTCGCTGATGATAAGGTGAGCTGAGCAGTTCTTGGACGCATGCATGGAGCACTGCCACCGCCTGGCTCCCACCTTCAACCGATAGTGCTTACAGTAGGTGAAACCGTTGAGGAAGACCAAATATCTGCCGTTATGTGTGCGTATATACTCCGCTGGAAAACAACATTCACTTTAGATTAAAGATTTCCCTTTGATGTTAAACAAATAAAGCCCATTGAAGTTGACAATGATGTTTCTTGTGATGAGAAGAAATTGCAAGGTGATGATGCATCTGAGATACCTATTTCGATATCTATTGACGTTTTCTCCTAAATTATACAATGATTATTTATTTCCCGAATAGTAAAGTATTTTTGAACTGACTGAAGTTTAAATTTTTCACTTTCAAGAGTCACAAAAGTTTAGAATGAAGACCATAGATGATCAGATTACTTTTTTAATCTACATTTGCAACAATTCTTAACAG